GCCGGCGACCGGGGCGTCTGGCCGAGGTGTTCTTCAGTGTCGTGTGCGCGTGGTGTCGTGGACACCGGGCGGTCCCGGTTTGACGTCTCGCTGGTGGCCGGTTTGGCGCGGCCGCGCAGTCGAGGCCGCGCGTCCGCCACCCGTCGGCGCGACACAGCGGATTCTGGTCTGGTCTGGGCCGGTCTAGTCTGGTCTGGTCTGACCTGGTCCGGTTCGGTCCGGTCCGGTCCGGCCAGCCGGTCCGGGGCGTGCTGCGCTCCGTGCCATCCGCGGCGGCGGTCACTACCTCAGCCGACACGGCCGACCGTCGACGCCGCCGCAGCTCACTCCCGCCAGCGCGCGCGCCCCGGCCGCACCGGCTCTAGATTAGTCTTCCCCCGCGGCGAGCAGTCATAATTGTTTTAGCCGTGCTTGACGTGGCGCCGGCGGCCTATCCGCTACTTATGATAGCATGCGCTTGCGTCGCTTTGCACTCATTCCACTCCATTCCCAGCAGCTCACGCGCAGTGCTTTTTACGCATGTGAGCTTTTACTTTATGCACGAGCCGCCCGGCGTGTACTGAATTGTTTATGGAGTTGATTTTGTGCTTGTTAGGCGTATAGAACTGAACTGAACAGATGGTGCCGTGCGACCCCACGTTCTGTGAGGGAGGCCGTGCCAGAGGAGACGCGTCCGACAGCAGGCTCGCGGCCTGCGACGGTGCGGCGCTGAGTGCTCGTTGCCGTGGCCTGACGCGCGTGTTGAGGCCGGCGCGCGCGGCGCTGTCCGCGTCCGTCGGCGGCCGCCAGTAGAACGTGTGCTGTCTGGCTGTCGCAGTCACGTGGGGCGCCGGTGAGACTCGCCGGCGCCGTGTATCGGGCAGCTGAGGCCGGGCCGCGCCGCGTGCCACCGCCCGCTGGGCCCGTGCCGGCCGCCCGGCCGACTACCCCCTCGTGCCATATGTACTAATCGGTTGACGTTTGATTGGTTAAGACATTTATTCGTTGCTCTGCGAGCTTTACAGAGGGTTGCGCGTGGCGTGTGCTGGCCTGTGGGTGGGACCGCGCACATGTGGCGCTCAGTGGCGGGCGGCACGTGTTGCGCATGCTCCGGTCAGCGGTTCACAAACTTCAAGAATCGTACTTCGCAGCCACCAAACTCATTAACGGTGTGCGCTGCTCATTACCACTGATTGGTTATTGCCAGTTGTTTTAACACACAAATACATGACAATTAATAATTCCACTGCCAGTTACTCCTGACCGCTACTTTTTCATACACAACTGCACGTACTCTCCTGACAGCGACAAAGTCAGCCGAGCACACGTAGAAAAGGCGTGAATACGCTACATGAAGCACTGAGCGAAGCACGACTTCACGAACGCGACTCATTCAAATCTTGTCTGTCAATGCGTGCGAACGCACATTGAACTCGTGCCGGCGTGTGTCGACCCGAAACACAAAGAGCTCAAACGAAAATGACCGGCGCTTGAGGTGCAGGCGAAAGAGGGGGGGGGGGGGGGGGCAGCGGCCGCCAGCTAGCTAGCAAACGGGAAGCCGAATGCATGGATGTTGTACAGGCTTCCTGAACCAAAAAACTTCTCAACGGCATGACGGCATTATAAGTTACAAAGTTCCTATGCTGGGCTGTCGGCATTCAGCATGTTCGGAGGCGCTGTTTAAGCGACGTTATAGAGCAAACATTAGTTATTTTGACACCGCTCGACGTTTCAACTCGCGATTATGATTGCGAGTGGGCATAGGTAAGCACGGCTTAAACGTCATGGTTGGCAATGTAGCCAATGATTGCTCTAATGCGTTGCTTAACCGGCATTTTTTTGGCATATCGTATCCAAATGACAACTCGGTATGAAAACTATGGAGTAAATCACGATTCCGAAAATTCAAGTGTTAAAGGCCTTACTTATACCGAAATTGCACACCTGATACTACGGACTGAGCGAAACGGCGCCGCTGCCGTTTGTACTGCTGATCAGGCTATGACCTGCAGCCTCCGTCCCCATTCCAGACGACGGCTGGGTCTCGGTCATGACATGATGCGGTCCTGGGTTTGACGTGACGCGGTCCTGGGGCTAACATGACGTGACCCTGGGGCTGACATGATGCGGCCCTGGGTCTGACATGACGTGACCCTGGGGCTGACATGACGCAGCCCTGGGGCTAACATGACGTGGCCCTGGGTCTGACATGACGTGACCCTGGGGCTGACATGACGCGGCCCTGGAGCTGACATGACGCGGCCCTGGGTCTGACATGACGTGACCCTGGGGCTGACATGACGCGGCCCTGGAGCTGACATGACGCGGCCCTGGGTCTGACATGACGTGACCCTGGGGTTGACATGACGCGGCCCTGGAGCTGACATGACGCGGCCCTGGGGCTGACATGACGCTGCCCTGGGGCTAACATGACGCTGCCCTGGGTCTGACATGACGTGACCCTGGGGCTGACATGACGCGGCCCTGGGTCTGACATGACGCGGCCCTGGGTCTGACATGACGTGACCCTGGGGTTGACATGACGCGGCCCTGGAGCTGACATGACGCGGCCCTGGGTCTGACATGACGCTGCCCTGGGGCTGACATGACGCGGCCCTGGGTCTGACATGACGTGACCCTGGGTCTGACATAACGCGGCCCTGGAGCTGACATGACGCGGCCCTGGAGCTGACATGACGCGGCCCTGGGGCTGACATGACGCTGCCCTGGGGCTGACATGACGCTGCCCTGGGTCTGACATGACGCTGCCCTGGGGCTGACATGACGCGGCCCTGGGGCTGACATGACGCGGCCCTGGAGCTGACATGACGCGGCGCTGGGGCTGACATGACGCTGCCCTGGGGCCGACATGCCGCCCGGTGTTATATACAACACTGTGACTAATTTGAGCCGGCAATGCACCTCGCCGTGGACGTCAGCCTGTAATTTTCTCTCTCGCGGCACTGACCAACCTCACAAACGGAATCTCGTGAGCCTTTTCACCGCACAAGTCGACCACCGGCATGCTGTGAGTGCCGGTGGAACTGACGGTGGCCGGTACTGACAGCATTCTCGTCGTGCTCCGGGTAATCTCCACATTCAGCCCGTCCATGCACCCGCTGCAGCGTCCGTTGAGCCGATTGGCTGGTCGCTGTGTCCCTACCCGTGGATCCTCTCAAAATGATGGCGCTTCGGCAAAATGCTGCAAACCTAAGCATCCGCTCTGGCGACTGGAAGCCACTTTCCCACGCGTAATCACTGACGGGTGGCCATGAGTGTGCTCTCGATGGTGGTCATGGGCCTCAGGAAATCTGGGCGAGAACAGTGAGATTCCGCAAGACAACGCTGCGCACAGGCGCGTCTCGTGCCCCGCGCCTCTCGGCCGTGGCGTGCCGTAGCCGGAAGTATCTAGTATCGGTATCACAAGTAAAGTCGGAAGTATCATGGAGCTCAGACGCCAGTTCGGCAATGCTGATCTTAGGCGTGCCCCATGCTCGGCATGAAAGTCGGGGAACGTGGTGTCGACGAGTGGCAGGGAATGGGGTGGAAGGGTGACTAACGCCTGGCCAGGGCGCTCGCGTGGGCGCAAGAGGAGGCACGCGTAACTGGCACTTCTATCCGCCGGCGCAGGGAAGACGCAGCCGTGGTCATGCTCATTTGAGTATAAGCTCTTGTTGAATAGATTTTGCACAAACATTTTTTCTCTTGTTGTGGGCGATTTTACCTTTCTGTTTACATCCGAAGGGCTCGAAATAGACAGAGTGGGAGGGGCAGCTTCCTCAGAGTCCCACAAAGCTCCATCTATGGGCCCTGCCTCTCCATTTGCGAGTGTAGGTATCGCCACATATAGCGCTGCCTCGTGCTGCCCCCCCCTCCCCGCGACGCAGCGACTGTGAGTGTGACGTCCCCAGAGTGCGGGAAACATCTGAAGATGACATAAAAAATTAAGCAAAGCCGTGACTGGCAATGCTGTGGCACCAGGCGCCTGCGCATGCGCAGGTTAAAGCTCGGCGGTTGGCCCCCCAGGCGCATGCAAATCTACCCCACCGTTAACCATTTTCCTTCATTTCATAGCCCTGAAACGATTATTTCTGGTCAAAAGGGCTCTTATCCAAAAAGTTGCATATCTCAATATCGCACTTTTTGAAAGATAAAATCGAGATGTGCGCTGGAATGACTTCTGCAGCGGGGTTTCGCACGCTGTTTCGAAATCCAGTCCTTGTACAGTAATTCCAGCCCAACAGCCACTTTACTTGGTACACTAGTTACCTCCACTCGACCAGTCATACAGCGGAGGCAGTTCGAAACATGCCCGCGGCTGCCAGCACCCTAATGAACTGAAACCGATCGGAAACAAAGTTTTTAGCTTGACTGTTACGTACAGCCTCGTTTAGCTGAGCATGCAGCCTCAGAGGTAGCCGACTCCAGCGCGTCTCCCTCGCTACTGGCCGCAGCCGGGCGGGCCAGCGAACCCCACCGCAAGCTCGCCCGGACCGCGAGGGACAGGCCAAAGGCCGTCTGCAGCGACGCCTCTAGCGCTGCACGCGACAGGGCGTCTCCCACAGCAACTAGTCCGCACACCGGACAGCAGAAATGAGCATTCACACACTGCGTCCTTACAGCATTCATGTATATTGCACCCATGCGTTGGGTATGAGTCGGATGATGACCCAACGAGGCAGCACGCGAGCAGTGCATACCAACAGGTTTCGCCCCGAATCCCGTCCGTCACGTGACGGTCACGTGACGTGCGGCGAGCCTTCTGCCCAGAATACGCGACAAATGACTAGCAAAGCGCACAGCGCGTCCAGGCCGTAACATCCGGCCAGCGACGCGCACGCTCGCCTGGTGGCTCAGCGCCAGCCACAGAGTAACGCTTCACATACAACCACGTTCGCCGTCTGGCGCCAGACGCCAGAAACGGCCGCAGTCGGTCCCATCCCGCCGCTGCGCTGACTCGCGTTCCCAGAGCGTCTCTGAGCGCACCGCTCTCCGGCCGCCCTCGACAGCCTCAGCGGCGCTCAGGGCTCGTGCAGGGGCGTCGCCTCTTGCAGCTGCGCCTGCGCCTGCGCCTGCCGCCAGAACAGTTGCAGCCGGCCGTCCTGGTCGCGGCAGAAGGCGGTGAGCTCGGCCAGCAGCCGGTCGCCCGAGTCGTCGGCGGCGACCCGCCAGCGGCGCGACAGCAGGCAGTTGGTGTACCACTGCAGCTCCGCCTGCCGGGCCGACCGGGCAGTCAGATCAAGGCCGGCCGGGGCGACACACACTGGCCCCACACGGCGCGGCGCGGCGCGGCGCGGCGCGGCACGGCACGGCACGGCACGGCACGGCATGGCATGACACGACACGGCACAGCATGTCACGACACGGCACGGCACGGCACGGCACGGCACGGCACGGTACGGCGCGGCGCGGCGCGGCGCGGCACGGCACGGCACGACACGACACGACACGGCACGGCATGACATGACACGGCACGGCACGGCATGTCACGACACGGCACGACACGGCACGGCACGGCACGGCACGGCACGGCACGGCACGGCACGGCACGGCACGGCACGACACGGCGCGGCGCGGCACGGCACGACACGACACGGCACGGCACGGTACAGCCTCTCGTACTGAAAACATGGGGTACTTCATCGCGATGTCCGATGATGCCATTCAACGCACACATGCACTGTGTTCGGGTGAAACTTTTACCATGGCTCGTAACATGCGCATAGCAGCTATTTCAAGTTGTTTTCTAGAGCCGAGACCGGCAGGGAATTTCCAGCCCCTGCGATAACTTGGCATCCCAGACGATAACACCCAACCGGCGCGCCGGACGGGTGTGAAATGGAAGGCCACGTCCGGCAGGCACTTGCTGGACCGGACGGTCACAGCAGGTCACAGTTGGTGGCCGGCGAGCGTCGATACTGGCCGGTAAAGGGTGACGACTACGCGGGTTAAGGCGATGGCCATAACACGGGTCACAAATGAACTTCTCCTCTCAGAGGAAGCTGCCAGGACGACGTCGCGTAAAGGCAAGCCAGGGCGCCCAGACAAAAATGTGTTTTAGAAAGGTGCTTACGGCGCGGCACTCATACCGGTACAGCGTGACAATATTTCTGGTTGGCTGAAGTGTTGCTGGCTGGTCGGCTGCAATGAACCCGTTCACACACTTGATAGATCTTTGGTCCTGATTGATGGGTGATTGTGAATTATATGCCAACCCTTACGCATCAAAGGGTGTTGTAGGCATCAAATTGTCATCAAATGCATCAAATTGTAGCGATATTTTGTGTTTGCAATGATCAATCAAAACAAAACGGGAAACCGTGCTTACTTAACCCAATGTTTTGCAAGCCTGGCTTTGAGATTACCATCCTCGCGAACCATGCGTTCTTGTAAAGGCCCTCATCCCACCACCAGAATGCAGCCATTCCAGTATAACGTGTCACCTTGGCCGACATACCCCAACGAGTCATGCAATATCGCAACACGGCCGCCGGTGCTGGCCTGACCCCTTCATGGCACCGTCTCCGCCTCCCACGAGCCAAGGGATCGAGCTCGGTGTTCGGGCCGCGAGCCCACGTGTCTGTGGCCCGAGCGGTCACGTGTCCTGCGCTCGGCCGACTGACCGGGCTTGAGAGACGGGGAGACAAACAGCACCAGAAACAGACACGAGGTATGCCTCGTCGCGTACACTTCAAACTTTGAGCTGGCTTGCATCCCATCGTCACGTGACCAGGCCTCTCCTCCGGCTCTGACCAGGACCGAGTCGCATCATCATGATACCCCCGCTCAACTGGTCTGGGTCGCTCGCCCTGACCCAGCTCCCGACCTGGAACTGGGCGCCCACCTGGACCAGCTCATTGATCTTAAATCCTCTCCTCCGGTCAACATCAGGTCAGCCGCCTTCCTCCTTCCGCCGACCTGGACTGGGCCGGTCATTCCGACCCACACACCGACTTGGACAGGGCCACCTATCAAGACTTTCCCCGGTCTTGAACCGGATCGTTCACCTGCAGCCGTCCCTGACCTGGACCGACACCCGTCCCTGACCTGGACCAGCAGCCGTCCGTAACCTGGACCGGGTCGTCCACCAGCAGCCGTCCCTGAGCTTGGACCAAGTCTTCCACCTGTGGTCGCCCCTAACCTGGACCGGGTCGCCCACTCGCAGCTGTCCCTGATCTGGACCAGCAGCCGTCCCTCACCTGGACCGGGTCGCCGTCGTCCGTCTGGACCGGCTCCGGGATCTGCGCGAAGCAGTGTCCGCTGGCGTGGATGTACTGGTACGGCGGGCCGGGCGCGGCGTCGCGCAGGCGCACGAACTCGAACCGCTCCAGGATGGCCGACTGCAGCAGCAGAAGCCGCTGCCGCCACGTCGACGGGGGGAAGCCTGCGGGAGCGGCGCGCCGTGAGAGACCGCTCAGTCACTGGCTGAGACACGTCCGTAGCTCGACACCAGCTGGACGAGTGCCCTCCAGGCTCCTCACAAGACAGGCTAAACCGTTAGGCATGTCTGGTTAGACGTTGATGGTTCGACACCAGCTGGACGCGTGTCTCGCAGGCTCCTCACATGACAGGCTAAGCGGTTAGGCATGTCTGGTTAGACGTTGGTGACTCAAGAAGGTGAATAACGCATGAATACAGACAAACACCGGCGACGCGGCGGTCACGCGGTGCGCAAGGGTCGGATCTCCACGGCCAGCCCCGGCCAGTCCAGACGCCGCGTAGCCCCGCCCGGCCGCGGGCTCCCGACCGGGCCGGCCGTCGCCGCCCCCTCCGCCTCCTCCCGCCTCGTCAGTCGGCGCGGCCGGCCGGCACCCACCGTGGAAGAGCGGCCGTCCGCCCTGGCGCAGGGCGTCCAGCTGGATCGGCACGTGCACGGGGATGCGCAGCGGGTCGATGTCGCGCGTGCTGCCCGGGCACATGACCACGGGCACCGGGAACAGACGCATGCCCGAGTTCTGCGCCCGTCGCTGCCAGCTCACCACCTGCGGTAGAGGTGGCGGCGGACGGGCGCGTCAGACCGGCCGGCGCCGGCTTCGGCTTCAGCGTCAGCGTCGGTTCAGCGGCAGGCCGGGCTGCCCCGTTCTCGCTCACCGTTGAAATGCGGCGAGGTTCGACCACTGGCCTGGCCATGCAAACGTGACCAATCCTGCCCCGGGGTTACCTATTCCAATCATCATTTAAAGCATCTCACAGACAAACGTCACGGTCCTGTAGTTACTTTACACCGCCAGTCCAATTCAGACGGCTGCCCGTTCGGCCGGAGACGCCTGGGTGCGTGCCCGGCGGCTGTGCAGAGCCAGTGTCCGGTGACACGAGCCCCCGTCGGAGCCGACCTGACCCGACCAGCGCGGCCCTCACCAGGTCGGAGATCAGGCTGCCGGTGCCCACCAGCCAGTTGATGCAGAACTGGTAGGCGCGGTCCGGCTTGAACGAGCTCTCGTAGGCGATCTCGCCCCACTCGGAGCGGTCCGACTTGGCGGACACGTCCAGGTCCAGCGCACCGCGCCGCATCTTGACGCCTGCCCGGACAGAGAGACGGACACCGATGAGGGGAGAGACTGAGGGTACAACAGTCATTCTGCCGCCTGCCCGCATAGACAGACGGACACCGATGAGGGGAGAGACTGAGGGTACAACAGTCATTCTGCCGCCTGCCCGCATAGACAGACGGACACCGATGGGAGGAGAAACTGAGGGTACAACAGTCATCCTGCCGCCTGCCCGGATAGACAGACGGGACACCGATGAGAGGAGAGACTAAGGGTACAACAGTCATCATGCCGCCTGCCCGAATAGACGGACACCAATGAGCGGAGAGAGACTGACGGTACAACAGCGGGGGGGGGGGGGGGGGGGGGGGAGCTGACGCACAGATATGCGATACAGGAACAATTTTCACTTGTCAGGGACAATACACCGAGCGAAAATACGCTTGGGTTCTTGAGTACGTGACATCTGTGGCGACAAAACCTTAAAAGGTAGTCAATATTAACAAGGACAGCAAGTGGCGCAAAGGATGAGATCTGGTTGCTTTCATTTCTACACCAGCCCACACAAGCACGCATGCATACTACGCGCGCGCGCGCGCACACACGCAAAACGAAGAAACGCACACAGCAACACCTGCGCCAATATGCGTAACAATATCACCAATTACGCCCCACGCGCCGACACCCTGCGCGCGGACCGCCGCCGCCGAGCGCGTCTGCCCCGGAGCGGGCCGCGCGGCCACTCACACTCGAACGGGTCGTCCTGGCGGGGCAGCGCGGCCGCCAGGAACCGCGCGCCGGCCAGCACCGGGCGCGGCCACCAGAACTGCGTCTCCACCTCGAGCCACTCGTCGGCGAACTGCTCCAGGTGGGCGGCGCTGCTCGCCAGCTGCACGCCGTCTGCGGGAGCGCGGGACGGACGTTCCACAGGGCGGTGCGCGCGCAGGCCGCTATGGGTGGCGCGCAGGCCGCTATGGGCGCCACGCAGTGCCGCGCAGGCCGTTATGGGCGCTGCGCAGAGCGGACACGGAGGCGGGGTAGTGCTGACGGCAGGGATGGTGGTGGTAGATGTGCTAGGGCTGAGTTGCGGCCGGAATTTTGTAGACTGAGTACTCTGGTGGTCACTTTGGTGACTGGGGCTTTAGTGGCTGGCTACTTCAGTGATCATATTGGTTGTTTCGGTGACGGTACCTTTGGTGAATGGCCATGTAAGTCTGACAATGTAAGGTTCCGCCCAAGTATTAGTCACAGCCGGTGCTAAATACAATGACACGCAACAATCATTCATCGCATAAAAGATTGGACCCTTGGTAACCCGCTGGTTGACCGTGTATTGTAGACGCAAGACTGGTACGGTAAAAAGATAGGTGTCACTAGCTGGAACCATCCAAACAATATGATAGCAAGTGCTCGCAGAACGAGGTGTACCAGTCCAGGTTTCGGGGGACAGAGTCTCGTGCCCGCTGGGGGCGGCCACCACGCCGGCAGCGCCTCCAGCGGCTGCCAGGACACCCACGTACCGGCAGGAGCGGCGACACAGAACAGGCAGAAGCCGTTCACGAACGGCCGGGTCAAGTCGCGAGACGCGTGCAGTATGATGTTCTCCTGACGCAGGTACTGCAGAACACACGACATCGTTGTGGTAAACAAAATGGAGAAAATATGGTACGCGAAGATGACAGCTATGACAAAGAGCGGACCCCATATTGAATTGCAGTTGAATGAATGTCGCGCTAGATGCAGAAGAATAATATTTGACAGCACGGACGCCGGCGTCAAACAACATACTCAACGGCGGAAGATGACTATTCGCATCCGTCACAAGCCGATGTCTTTAGGCTTTAACCAAACATGCTATCGCTCTGGGACAGCTGCGAACCGACTGGTCCGAACGACGCTCTCGGCCACTGGAATGGTCTGCGTTGAGTCGAGTATGGTCTGCCTGCTGTACTGAATAAAACGCATTTCCACGCAGCTCCATCAGACGGTGGGAAATAAGAAATCACTTGGTGCAATCGCAGAAAACGCAACAGGCGGCTGCAGGGTCTGAGCAGGCCTGTCGCCTGATGCACCCCGCGGCTGGTCTGAGGGGGGGGGGGGGGTGGGGGGGGGGGGGGCTGGCAGCGCCGGCCGTCCGCACACCTGGCAGTACCGCACGGCGTCCTGCTCGCTGGTGACGCCCGCCACGTGCTGGTACACCCACTGCACCAGGTCGGCGGCCACGAACGTGAACTCGGGCAGGCCGCCCTGCACGGAGCGCGTGAGGAAGGGCAGACCGAGCTCCGGCGAGCGCAGCACGTCCACCACCTGCGGCACGGAGGCGCGACCACGGGCTCACCGCCACCTCCCGAACGTGGCACGCCTCAGGACGACAGCACAAACCGAGCACACGCTTTGACAAACACACAGCAAACAATCGACTACAATACGCTACTGTTCGAATGGCAGCTGTACGGGAAATTTTGCTTTGGCAGGCTGGTAACAAACCGCACGCAATGCGACCGCCTGGTGAGCGTGAGAGGATGTATGGCACATGGGTGCAGTGGCTGACCTCGGGTGCAGTGGCTGACCTCGGGTGCAGTGGCTGACCCCGGGTGCAGTGGCTGACCCCGGGTGCAGTGGCTGACCTAGGGTGCAGTGGCTGACCTCGGGCTCAAGGCCCGACCAACTGCCGGGGCAGCAGTGATAGCGGGGGCGGGCGACCGTTCACTTGCTTTTCACTGGCCATTATCAATGAAAAGGCACACCACAGACGCGCCGTCGTTGGTGCGCGCCGTGCCCTGCTGGCCGCATTCTTCGGGCACGTCTGGCTTGACGTGCACTTAAAATGTGCATCAAACACTAAGTCACGGTTGCCGTCGACAATATCAAATGCAAAAATGATCGAATGGAAAAATGTCGAAGACAGCATGTCAAGAGCAAGATGGCGAAAGGGACAACCACCGATACGAAAGATATCGAGGTGAAAAAGAATGTAATTTCAAGATACGTGCAGCATGGATGTGGACGCCATATTGAGTTAGAAAAACGACAGAACTGCAATCTCGTAACACCATTTCCATTAATTCCATTTCACTTCCCATTTCGATGCTTATTCCCACTGGCGTTCCCCGCCAATAGTTAAGCTTGCGATCACTCGCATTCGGTATTGCTTTCAATGCACACTAACCAATATCCGTCCACTGTTCGTCCTATACGCTGGTGCCGCCGCTGGCGAGCTGGCCGGCGGTCCCGGCTCCGCGGCCGACTCACCTCGGCGGCCGTGGCGGCCGAGCTGAGCAGGGTGCCGCTGCCAGCGAGCTGGCCGGCGGTCCCGGCTCCGCGGCCGGCGGTCCCGGCTCCGCGGCCGGCTCACCTCCGCGGCCGACTCACCTCGGCGGCCGTGGCGGCCGAGCTGAGCAGGGTGCCGCTGCCGGCGCCGCCCGCCGTCGTCGCCGACACGTCCTCGGCCGAGTTGGAGGCGGCCGCGGCGCCGGCCACCGAGCGTGCCGCCGCCTCCTGGCGCACCTTCATCACCCTGCTGCCGGAGCGGGCCCCGATCCGCTGGTCCACACGGTTGCTGGAGAGGCGCTCCTGGCCGGCGGCGAGAGGAGGTCAGCGGCGCACGCACGCGGCCCGGCCCGGCACACAGCGCACAGACTCGGCCTGGCCCGCCGCACAGCACACAGGCTCAGCCCGGCCCGGCACACAGCGCACAGACTCGGCCTGGCCCGCCGCACAGCACACAGACTCGACCCCCCACACAGCACACAGACTCAGCCCGGCCTGGCACACAACGCACAGACTCGGCCTGGCCCGCCGCACAGCACACAGACTCGACCCCGCACCCAGCGCACACACTAGGCCTGGCCCGCCGTACAGCACACAGACTCGACCCCCACACAGCACACAGACTCGGGCCAGCCCGGCACACGGCGCACAGACTCGGCCTGGCCCGCCGCACAGCACACAGACTCGAACATCAACAAGTCCACAGTTGGAGGCGGCCGTGGTCCTCAGTCGCCCCCAGTGCCGTTCCCTAAGCCCCGTCCCCCAGACGTGACCCTGCCCGCCCCCGCGCGGCGCCGTGGCCGCTGTCCCCTGCTTGCCGGCCCGTCCCGCAGCCCGCCGACTCACCCGGATCTGCTGCCGCGCCGACGTCGGCTGATGCCGCTTGAACTTGTTCAGCGCGAACGTGACGGCACTGATGAACCTGATGAAGTTGTCGACGAGCGTCTTCGAGTCGTGCGCGGCGGCGGGGGCGGCGGCGGCGTCCCTGGCGGCGGCCGGCACGCCCGGCACCAGCAGAAAGCGACACCGCCAGTACTTGAGATTGCTGCTCAGCTGGAAGTCCGAGCCGCCTGCCGACGCAGACCGTGGCACGTGTCACGTGTCGCGTCACGCCGGCCGTGACGCGCAGGAAGACGCCATGTGAGGACGCGCTCCGGCTGGCAGCGGTAGCGAGGGCGGAGAGAGGTGACTACGGGTCGGCGTCGGTGGAAGGGTCAGAGGGGTAGATAGACGCTCGGTAGATAGATAGACGCAAAGAGGTAGACGCTCGTCGAGCCGAGCGTCGATCGGGAGTGGGAGGAGCGTGTGTTCTCCACGAGGACACGCAGCTGCCAAAAGACTGATGCCAGTGATGCTGGGGTGAGTGGGTGATTTCTGAGCCCGCTGCCGTGAGCGAACCTGCATACATAAGAAACCCAGAGAGCCCCTTCTACACAGACCCCCTGTACAGAAACCAAGTGCGCCACTCCAACCATTAGAACACAGGTGACCGTACGGTTACACCCAAAACGTCGCATAAGATGTAGTAGTCTCCCAAAGCAAGTCCTTCAAAACGTAAATGCAGCTCGCAGTCAGAGCAAACAGCCAGAGAACTACGATGCACGCCCAGCACAAGGCTGCATCACGAACCGAGTCCCTGGAGGACCAGCTCTCTCGGCCCGCCAAGCTCGCGGCAAGTGAATTTGTGCACCGACCGCCTCTCCGCGCGGCGCGGCTCGCACCGGCCGAACAGCGGCGGCCGGCGTCAGGTGGCAGCGCACTGAAAGGCCTTCCAAGCTCCAGGGTAGAAAATACGCTTAACATAATGTTGCTTTGTTAACAGGATGTTCACGACCAAGTAATTTCCCAGTATTTTTCTTCAAGCTTTAAATTCTATCTGGCTACTCACTGAGGTAGGAATTCAAATACAACAATTCCGATAATCGTGAATTTTTGAAAGCATACTCCCACGTGAAAACGTCCATGAACGGCCCCTCGACAAGACCACGTACATCGCAGGCGCCCGATCGGCGGGCAGGTGGCCTCCCACCTTTGGTGCAGACGTAGTTGTCGAGGTAGTTCCAGTTGTAGCTCTCGGGCCGGTCGGTGCTGAGCTCCGCCTCGCACGCCACGTAGCTCGGGTGGTGGTGACACTGGACCCGGTACCGGTACGAGACGCGGCGCACCGGGTACGGGTGTCTGCCGGCCAGGGCCCGGTCACAGCACCGCCGCACACAGCACCGCCGCACACAGCACCGCCGTACACAGCACCGCCGCACAAAGCGCTGTGGCGGCAGCAGCGGCGGCCGCCGGCATGTCAGTGCTGGCGTCGGCCGGGAGTGACCAGTGAGCAGAGCTCCGTGCATGGAATGCCACCAGGCGCGCTGCACATGCGATACTGCCTGTTTGACCCGCCCCGGAACAAGCCTTACGTGATAACAGTCTGAACTTGGCTCCGACCAAAGCGGTACACACGTGATATCCAACCGGACATGAAAGCAGGACTGACCGCGTCCAATGTTTCCTAAATCGGCGCCAGCGGCTGCTGCACTGCGCCACAGCGTTCTCACGGGACAGGGCCTCTCGAAGCAGGCTGATCTGGGCCGGCAGTGTGTGATGTTGATGGTGCCAGCTGAACTGGGCCGGTAGTGGGTGACGTGTGACGTTGATGGCGCCGGCTCACCTGGGCCGGTAGTGGGTGACGTGTGACGTTGATGGCGCCGGCTCACCTGGGCCGGTAGTGGGTGACGTGTGACGTTGATGGCGCCGGCTCACCTGGGCCGGTAGTGTGTGACGTTGATGGCGCCGACTCACCTGGACCGGTAGTGTGTGAAGCTGATGACGCCGGCTCACCTGGGCAGGTAATGAGTGACGTTGATGGCACCGGCTCACCTGGGTCGGTAGTGTGGGACGTTGATGGAGCAGGCTCACCTGGGCCGGTAATGAGTGACGTTGATGGCACCGGCTCACCTGGGCCGGCAGTGTGACGTTGATGGCACCGGCTCACCTGGGCAGGTAGTGTGTGACGTTGATGGCACCGGCTCACCTGGGCCGGTAGTGTGTGACGTTGATGGCACCGGCTCACCTGGGCAGGTAATGGGTGACGTTGATGGCACCGGCTCACCTGGGCAGGTAATGAGTGACGTTGATGGCACCGGCTCACCTGGGCCGGCAGTGTGACGTTGATGGCACCGGCTCACCTGGGCAGGTAGTGTGTGACGTTGATGGCACCGGCTCACCTGGGCCGGTAGTGTGTGACGTTGATGGCACCGGCTCACCTGGGCAGGTAATGGGTGACGTTGATGGCACCGGCTCACCTGGGCAGGTAATGAGTGACGTTGATGGCACCGGCTCACCTGGGCAGGTAGTGTGTGACGTTGATGGCACCGGCTCACCTGGGCAGGTAATGAGTGACGTTGATGGCATCGGCTCACCTGGGCAGGTAATGAGTGACGTTGATGGCATCGGCTCACCTGGGCCGGTAATGAGTGACGTTGATGGCATCGGCTCACCTGGGCCGGTAATGAGTGACGTTGATGGCATCGGCTCACCTGGGCAGGTAGTGTGTGACGTTGATGGCACCGGCTCACCTGGGCAGGTAATGGGTGACGTTGATGGCATCGGCTCACCTGGGCAGGTAATGAGTGACGTTGATGGCGCCGGCTCACCTGGGCCGGTAGTGTGTGACGTTGATGGCCGAGCCGCTGAGCAGCACCCGGTGGAAGATGCGGCCGATGCTCAGCAGGTACTCCTCGCGCTCCTCGGGCACCCGCTGCGGGAAGACGGCCCGGCCGACGGCGGCCCCGCTGGCCGGGCTCGGCTTCGCCGACGACACGATCAGCTGGAACCCCTGCGACAGCGGCGGCCGTCACCGTGGATCGCCAGCCCGCTGGCGGCAGCGGCAGCGCGAGAACGGCGGCGCATCCGCCCAAATGATGCCACTGCTTGTCAGGTAGGCCACGTGCGTTGACGAGCAAGCCGTGTTTAAGGAGCGTCAGCGACTACGATGGCCACATGAGCGCTCCGGGGTCGCGGAGCAGCATAACTTGAAGCTACATCCAGCGCATAAACTTACCACGTTCAGGACTTAGGCAGGTGGTTCTAGGTCCTCAACGGCAAAGAATACAGTTCCGAAAGCGTAGGTTGAGCTAGTATCATCAGTAAATCGGTATTTTTCATTTGAGCAGCCCGCGCCAGCTTGACTGCTACACTCTACATCTTTTCTGAACTTGTAAACACTAGTCGCAACTTTATGCAATTACCATCAAAACGAGGGGAGATTATATACAACTTGTGTTGCATAATTTCGGGGGCATATGCAGTCATGCCCCTCGATGATTTTGGCCCGATTATTCTGCCGCATTCCAATATGCACGGCCTCCGCGTTGGATCTGGCCGTCAATTGAAACATTTTCCTGGTAAGTAACAATCACACAGCGCTGGTCTACATCTGACCCACATTTGGGTGACCAGAGTCGTACCCGTACCAAACAACACGGGTCTAAACCGGACCCACATTTGGGTGACCAGTGTCGTACTAGTACCAAACAACGCGGGTCTAAACCGGACCCACGTTTTGGTGACGAGAGTCGTACCCGTACCAAACAACGCGGGTCTAAACCGGACCCTTATTTGGGTGACCAGGGTCGTACCCTTACCAAACAATACAGGTCTAAGCCGGACCCACATTGGGTGATCAGCGCGTACCCGTACGACACGAAGAATTTGACGGAGGCATGGGCGGGCGATCGTACCGGCAAACTGCGGGTCAATGTGTGAAGCCAGTCACGCGTTCTCAACCGTAAACCACACCCATTTTTAACGATCGACATCCCATGACATCGGACCTCGACAATCAAACGCAGTTGAAGCAAAACCAAGGGCGGGTGTAAGAAAATGTACCGACCAACTAAATCGCGGTCTTGGCGCTGTCCGACCCAAGATGCGCCCGTAATCGACCGGGAAGTGGCTAATGTCGCGTCATTCGACACCGGTCCTCCAAGACACCCAGAGACCTAAGCCGAGATGCACGGGGCCACGACGGCGGCCAAGACGTACGGCAAAGTTCACTGACCAACATCTACGCAAAATATGACGTTTTTGTTGGCGCTAACCTGGTCACTTATCGAAAACGGTCGGTAGAAGGCTCCGCTCAGATAACATCTACACGCAACAAACTGGCTTTGCAAATGTTGTTTTGGTCCCTCTCAAAGGGTGCGCGATGACCACAAGAAATGCACGTCAATTAACTTTTCATACGACACACCGTTTGACCGGATTCACATCAGTTCATCCGTTTATGGAAAAAATTACATCACATCAGATTATCCGTTAATGAAAAAATTAAAGGAAAAAGGCAAGCTTTTAACGACGTGCACCCAGGTATTCGGCTGAAGTTGGCTTGTGGTGGATCAGCATCTAAAAAACTTACGTGACGTGTCTGTGGGTCAGCTGAGAATTTCGCGCAGCGCTTTTCCAAGGCCTTATCAGACGACTGCATACCGAACACTCATCGCGCAAAAGCATGTCTGGAAACATTACGCGACGACGAAAAAACAACGGTGGCTGATGCAAATGAGACCATTCTTACCCTGGCATTTTATTGTGCAAGGAAGCGACACAAAGTCTAGCCATTAACAACATCCACGGCAGCACTCGCAATATTGGGTGACACAGCGGAGCCGCTTGTCTCGTCCCGTCACTGCTCGTCCCTCAGTCACGGTCGCCGCCCGCCGCTGGAGAAGTCGGCCAGGCTAGACCCCAGGTCAGCCCTGGCGGCCGCCGCCGGGCCGGCTGGCAGCGTCGGGCCCCAGGTCAGCTCTGGCGACCGCCGCCGGGGAGGTCGGCTGGGCCAGGCCCCAGGTCAGCCCTGGCGGCCGCCGTCGGGGAGGTCTGCCGAGCCGGGCCCTAGGCCACCCCTGGCGACCGCCGCAGGGCCGGCCGCCGGCGCCGGCCGCTGCAGCTGCGCCGGGAAGAGGCCCAGCTGGCCGCCCTGCACCTGACTGACTCGGTCCGGCGGCTGCTGCTCCACCACCTCCCACAGCTGGCTGCCGCCCAGGATGAACGGCTGCTCGAACAGCGTCGCCCAGTCCACCGCCGTGCTCGGCGAGGGCCGCCGGGTCGTCATCCACCAGGGCGGCATCCGCGTCGGCGTCCAGCCGCTGGAGGCGGCCGCAGCTGGGCGAGCTGTGGTCAACGTTGGGGCGGCTGTCGTTTTCGGGGTTGTGACTCTGTTTGCGGTGGTTGAACGCCTTGTCGGCGTTGTGGACGCTGTAGCTGCACTCACTACGGCTGTCGGTGTCGAGGCGGTTGTCCATGCTGTAATTTCCCAGACTGGAATCGTTGGCGGTGTTGCTGTTGTAGGCGCCTGTGCCGTAGTTGTCGATGGCTTCGAGGTTGTGGTGGTTGGTGGACGTGTCGTGGTTGTTGTAGTTGGCGAGCGTGTTGTGGTTGGTGGACGTGTTGTGGTTGTGGTTGGTGGACGTGTAGTGGTGGTGGTTGGTGGGCGTGTCGTGGTTGTTGTGGTTGGTGCACGCGTTGTGGTTGGCGGACGTGTTGTGGTTGTGGTTGGTGGACGTGTTGTGGTTGTGGTTGGTGGACGTGTTGTGGTTGTGGTTGGTGGACGTGTAGTGGTTGTGGTTGGTGGACGTGTCGTGGTTGTTGTGGTTGGTGGACGTGTTGTGGTTGTGATTGGCGGACGTGATGTGGTTGTGGTTGGTGGACGTGTTGTGGTTGTGGTTGGTAGACGTGTCGTGGTGGCGGTTGGTGGACGGGTTGTGGTTGTTGTGGTTGGTGCACGTGTTGTGGCTGTGGTTGGCGGACGTGTTGTGGTTGTGGTTGATGGACGTGTTGCGGTTGTGGTTGGTGGACGTGTCGTGGTTGTGGTTGGTGGACGTGTCGCAGTTGCGGTCGGTGCACGTGTCGTGGTTGTGGTTGGCGCACGTGTCGTGGTTGTGGTCGGTGCACGTGTCGTGGTTGTGGTTGGTGCACGTGTCGTGGTTGTTGTGGTTGGTGCACGTGTCGTGGTTGTGGTTGGTGCACGTGTTGTGGTTGTGGTTGGTGCACGTGCCATGGTTGTGGTTGGTGGACGTGTCGTGGTTGTGGTCGGTGCACGTGTCGTGGTTGTGGTTGGTGGACGTGTCGTGGTTGTGGTCGGTGCACGTGTCGTGGTTGTGGTCGGTGCACGTGTCGTGGTTGTGGTTGGTGGACGTGTCGTGGTTGTCATGGTCGGTGCACGTGTCGTGGTCGTGGTCGGCGCAGGAGCCATAGCCACTGTGGTTGGCGCACGTGACGTGGTTGTCGGAGCTCTAACAGGCGACTCCGCTGAGGAGGTGAAGGGTCTCCGCGCCGTCGTCGCTGTGGGAGCAGCAGTGGTCGCGACAGCGGCTGATGCTGACGCAGACGGCGTTGCCGAGGCAGACACACCGGCCGTGCCCGGTCCGGCCGCGGCCGCTGGCGGCGGCGTGTCGGCCGCCTGCGCGCAGCCCAGCAGCAGCGGCGGCGGCGGCTCGTCGATGCTCAGCCCGGCGCCCAGCGCCGAGATGATGGCCGTCATCTGCGCCAGCGCCGCCGGCGCCAGGCCCGGCAGCCGGTGCACCACCGTCAGGTTGCGGCGCGTCACCGTCACCGTCGTCTCCTGGCCGGAGCCGGCCGCGCACAGGGAGGCGTCGGCGTCGGCGTCGGCGTCGGCCGGGTCCTCATCCTCGGCGGCGCCGGACGGCTCGCCGTCCTCCACGTCCGGGATGGGCGTGGTATGCGGCGCTACCGCCGCGCCGGGAGCCGCGCCGCCGCTCTCGCCGGCTGGCTTCGACGGAGCCGGGCCGGACGGGCCGGAGGGGCCGGACGGCGGCGCCGGCGGCGCGCGCTGTCCGCCGGCGCCCGGCACGAGCACCTCGACGAACGCCGGCCCGGTGGAGACGAGCGGGCCGCCGTCGGCCGGCGCCGCCGCCGTATGCACGTCCAGGGCGCCGGCCGGCCGCGGCACCTTCACGTGTACGCCCAGCGGGCCGGCCACCACGAACCCGCTGCCGCCGGCGCCCAGCACCGTCACCTGGCCGTCCTGGCCGATGACGACCCGCGGCGGCGGCGGCGGCGGCGCCGACGGCCCTGCCGACAGCGGCTCGGCGGCGGGCCGCGCCGGCACCCGCGGAGGCGGCGGCAGAGGCGCCACCGGCCGCTGCAGGACCGACATCCAGTCGGTGAAGTACGAGTCGGACGTGTCGAAGGTGATGTTACGCCGTCGCGGCGTGGTGGCCGGCGGCGGAGGCGTCGCGCCGCCCGGCCGCCATCGCGGCCCACCCGCCGCCGTCCCGCCGCCGACGAGCTGGACCGAGCTGTGCTGGCGATGCTGCCCGGGCGAGACCGGCGCAGGCGGGACTGAGCCGGTCCGCGGGGGGTAAGCGGCAGGCAGCGGCCGCCCATCCGCTGGCGCCAGCACAGCGCACACGCCGCCCAGCAGGCCGAGCGCCAGCAGCATAGCTTGGCACGGCCGGGCAGCTACACGCTCCCGAGCATCGTGGCGCGGCAGAGGGGAGCAGACACGCTCCGCACTGTTGGCGTGATCCCGCGCCGCTCGCCGGCGCCGCCCCCGGTCGGAGCGACAGCGGGTGACGGCCGACCGGACCGGCTGTGACGGAGCACGCTCGTCGCGTCGTTCGCGCGGAGACGCTGCCGAAGCACGAGTGCCACCCACCGCCGGATCTGTGGCGCTCCGCGGCCGCGTCGCTAGCGGTACAGCCGACCACGCGCCGCCGCCGGCCCGCGCCGCCCGGCCGCAGCAGCGACGCCTCGTCATCCGCCAGCTGCGTGTAAAGCGACGCGCCGCTGCCGCCGCGGCCGTTGTAATGATCGCCCTTCCGGTGATGGACGGCTGAGGCGACAACGCGAGACGGCGCAGTGGTCTCACAGTTTTCCCACCCCGTCCGGTTTTTTGGTTATCATTCCACGCGTACCTCTGTATTATCATGCCTCGTGTTTACTGGAGGAGTCCGACGTAACCTTTTACGCCAAGCTGTCGTTTTACGAACAAGCTGTTCGCATGGACAGGAGGCCATACAAACAGCTTGTTTTGGTTCAATCGTCAATACAAAAATATAAAATAGCATTGATATCAGGAGGCGCATAAGCACTCCCGACATCGCGTGGAGTCCCACCATTTTTCCGTGATTCCTTCACGCCATCAGCACAAATTACCTTCAATGCGTTCGCCTTGTCGGAATCTAGTCTCGCGAACACAGCACATGTCTGTAAAGGCCTCCCACGTGCACCGCGCCGGACTGACCTGCGACACACAGCCGCTGCGGCACCATCTCTGTGAAGACCTCTCGCGTGCACCCCGCCCCACTGCCCTGACACAGCCGCTGCGACACCATCTCTGTGAAGACCTCTCGCGTACACCCCGCTCACTGACCTGGCACAGCCGCTGCGACACCATCTCGGTGAAGACCTCGCGCGTGCTGAGCTGGCGGTGCGCGGCGCCGGCGTCCTCCGGGCTGTTGATGTCGTCCGGCAGGATGCTGTACTCGGTGAGCAGGTAGTCCTTCTGCAGGCTGCGCTCGTCCGGGAAGTAGTCGGTGGTGATGGGCAGGCAGGCCGGCGTCGTCAGCGACTTCCAGTCGACGCCTGTCCGCGCGCGCACGGCGGCGTCTGAGTCAGGGCGGCGGCCGGAGGCGGCGACGGGACCCTTCCCGCGCGCCGCCACCCCAGCGGGACGTGCCGGGGCGGCGGGTGTTGGCTAACGGAAGCTGGACCATAGCGGGAGGAACGGCCGAGGCGTCCCCCACGGTGACAATCCAGCTTTGCTCAACCGGAATGCCGTCCCTCAGTTACCGACCAACTCGTCACTGAGTGATTGCCATTTTCCGGGCGGGGTTTTGACGACGAAAACGTAACTTTTCCATCGCAGGCTCTGTGAAGGAATAGCTCGCTGCCTTTTAACATGTGCACCTTTCTAATTTGCCCAGTGCAGCAAACAATAAGCGGAAGGCATATGAAGGCCCGCCAGTGTTCGATGGCTTCGCAGAACGCGGAGCGCCGAACGGGGGAATCGCTGGTAGCCCCTAGCCAGCCAACAGCCAGCAATTTCTTGACGAGTCCATTGTAAATTGTGCGCATTTTATATTGTTTAGGGGTCGCAATTGATGCGAGGCTTCGCTGAAGTACGTCACATCGTTACTGGCTTAGATACTCCAAACCCAACAAAAGAACATTTGGGCAACGTGGTGTTCCAAGCAGCCAGCATGATATGCCCGCTGTAGAGACACGAAACACAACCCAAGCGGTATACGACACATTCCCGTCAGGCCCTGTGACATAAGCACGCAGGATCACATTCAGCATTCGCAATTAGTGACGACTGCTTCTGGCAATACACTGTATTTAACCCCGGCCTCATTCGAGGCTATCAACGAGGCTAACATCTAAGGGCACTGGTATGCATCGGTCCACACATGGTAAAACTGGAAAACCACGTGCGAGCAAATGCCCCAAAATCGAGCCACCACAAGACAACGAAAATGGGATAAAAGCATGGCGTGTGGTATATCACGCGCGTCACACACAACATAAAACAGAAAGTGCTAATGCGCAATCGTTTCCAAAACACAAGCGCAGTAATCAAACCCTACAGGGCACACGTGGAGGGTACCGTTAGCCACAGTTTAGCCGCAGGTCAGCCGGGGGGGGGGGGGGGGGCGACCGGGACCGAGCGGTCCGAAGACGGCACAGACCCCCCAGCGCCACCAACGGTGGTTGGGAACGGCCGGGCCGCACAACCAACACGAAACTCACCATCAGCACTCCGTAATTCGACATATGCATATCAATTGGGGAAAAAACTGTGGGACGCTTTTACTCACGTCACGTTTTTGTGCCCATTTCGAATGTGCTCCATTTACTACCTCTTGCCGCTGCAATGGTGCTGCACTTCCAATTGGCAGGCTTCGCGTCATTTAACAGCTGACATCGCGGCCTGTTTATGCATAGTGGTTCCTCTTGCTACCGGTCTGTCATACGCTCCTTGTATGAAAAGCTTTTTCCCCAAGGAACTTCTGAATTATCGTGTATGGATAAAGAGGCCTGTCTTCCCTTTTTGCATCATTAAAGTGCGTGACACATCACAAGAGTTTACAAACCCACGTTCTGTGAAACAAACACATTTTCCTCTGCTTCATCGCAGTTTGACGAGTGTAGCCTGTAGCCAGGGCATCTGAAATCTGACGGCGTTTAAGCCAGTGGTAACCCCTTGGTGTTTTGCGGCCTATTCGCCGCCTGGTCACACTTTTCAGTCACACGTGACTGGAGCGGCGCGAACAGTCGTCTTCCTCTGGTAGAGTGTGCTAATATCTCTGAGAAATGCATGTGCCGTGGAGCCCGCATACAGATATAATCGATAAAATGTACGCCTCCGAGGATAACATTCGAGAAAAATACACACTTTGCAACTACCGTGGCGTGTACTTGTATCGCCTGGTCAGGATTCCTGCTTTGTAACGTTTAACCGTTGCCGAGGGGCATTTCTGGAACAAATTTGTGGTTCTTGGCGTAGGAGAGAATGGTGGATTCTGTACATGCAGGTCGTTAAGGCCGAATGCATCGGCGTTAGGGACCTCAATTTGAGGCTTCTGGCGCGGAGATCCGCGACAGTTATGGTGAACTCATCTCCATATGTTTGTTACTGGGTCACACTGCTTTTAAATAGATGATGTTGCTTGGGACCTCAGCTCCTTAACACATTAAACATGAAGACAAAACTACCAGGTATCTTCAACAGACAATGGATAACCATACACGTTAGAACTAATCAAAAATCGTCACAAATCTATCATCGACAAATTTTCGAACGGCACGTATACTTTGAATCACCGAGTGCTCGGTTTTCTGGTGATGTGTTTCATGTTCGCTGCTCATTCCGGCCGCTCCCACTAAACCGCACACAGGCCGCACCACACCCCGGGCGTCTTCGGGCGGCGCGCGCGGGGCAGCACACGAACTCCTAAAGCAGAGCGAAGGCGAGGGTCGGGACGGGGACGGGGGCATACCAGCGGCCTCACGACGACACAGACGCACCCCGCACACAGCACGGCTACACATCCATAGCTGTTAGTGCGCCCCAGGGTCTGGCCGCACAGAGATGAGGCCCGCGCCCGATGCCCACACGTGTCCCGCAGGCGCGCGGCGCCGCCAGAGGCGGCTGAGGCGAGGTGTTGGTGTGGCGGGCGTGGCGGCGGCGCAGCGCGCGAGTGGGGAGCGGGGGGGGGGGGGGGGGGGGGGGGGGCGCCGGCGCCATTGACGCCATCCGGTCCCGTGTCGTTCTCAGGTGACGAGGCTCGACGCACGGCTCAGCAGCTGGACAGCTGGACAGTCTGCCCAGCAGTGTGGGCGCTGGGGCACACAGGGCCTGCCCTCGGTATAAATGAGGCTGGTTGTCTAAAAACGAACGATAATTCCGGCACCATGATGCTCTGCTTTCAGGAATTGCGCGAAACCCAAAGTCGTTTCAGAGTTTGACACAGAAATATCGGCGTGCATCCGCCTGATGCATATTCCGGCTATCTTTCTGCCGTTCGTTTGTTCTTACATCCGACATATTTCCCTCACTCATCACCCAATCGCGCATCACCACACCGGCTCGTCCCCACGGGGTGTGCCGCAGACGTCAGCCACGAGCGGTAAGCACCTAAACGAATGGCTTTAGAGCGCCGTACAGGATCGGGAGCGAAGAAACTGACGGAAAGGAAGTTAAGCCGGTTGCTACCCTCTCTGGCAGCGAAGAACCGTTGACAGCCAGGGAAATGGAGCCCGTGGGCAACAACTCGTCACCTACCCTTCTCATGGTGTGTTTGGCGTTCGTCACTCCTTCAAAGATTTCATTCACGCTGATTCTCCCCCCCCCCCCCCGCCCATCCCACCGCAGGTCCCGGCAGCTAATGACTTCCTGCACAGAATTTTGAAGTGGGCACGGTTTAACCTGTATGGGCACGGACCGCATACCCGCTCCGCCAACTCAAACGCTGTGTACTTTAACGCTCAGCATCCTCCTGATTTCCTCATCTTTTGTAATCTGACGTGGGATAGTTGTCCGGGTGGCGGACACCTTCCAGAGGAGTCAGGTGCACCTCTAAGTTCAGCGGGCGGGGCCGTTTCAACCTGCCCTTCGCTGGGTAGCAGCGTCGTGGTGGTGTGATTTGATTGTGAGTCAGCCGTGGCTAGGTAGAAGCTGGTCTGTCTTCGAGCACGACGTTCCCCAACCCACAACCGAGGTCAACAAGGGGACGGGACGGCGGGCGACTACTGTGCCGGCGGGGCTGCGGACGCGCAATGCGCTGGTGGGAGCGCCAGAGGTGCGCCGCGGAGCCGTCGGGCAGGAGTCCGCGGCAGCCCGTGCCCTGACTCACTAACAGCTGTTCATACACCTTCTCCGTGTGCGCCCGGGCACACCCCCACAGCTAGCCAGCACGGGGCACCCACAGGTCGAAAACTGAGGCCAACGGTGAATGTTGGTGAACGCCCAGGCCGACCCGCACGGCGGCCGGCTGACACCCAGGACCCCTTCACCACTCCCGTAGGACACAACGGGACACGGCACGGCATTACTCAAAGCTGGGGCCGAGGGGCTGCTGAGCCCTGCCCTGATCGTGGTCAGGGCCCTTGCGGAAGGCACGTTTAGTCTGGCTCCTCCCTTTGGTCGGAGTGGACGCTTTAAACGCCTCCCCAGCCGCTCACAGGGTCATCGGAGCATACAACCCCCCCCCCCCCCCCCCACCACCACCACGGAAAGGTCCTGATCCACCTGTCCCCCCCGTCCTCACAGGGGACGGGGGGTACGAAGTTATTAATCATGCGTGAGCCGCACCTACCTGTGACGTCACAGGTAGCTGGCCGTCAGCGTTTGCTACGGCGAGCACGCCCCTGACCGCCATAAGCCAGCGTGCAGCGACCGCAGCCGCGCGCCGGGCGTGACGTCACACGGCATGCCCTCGGGGCGCGCTTAGTACGCGTGAGCACCGAGCACTAACGACGCCACAGTGCCAAGGCAGGGGCACTATCAAGCGGGCCAAGCAAGCACAACTGGCTAACGCGAGATGCAACAAATACAGTCGCCTCGGGAGTTTTCTTTACCTACTAAAACTCCGACGATGTACGCTAAAAAGACAGAACCCTGTTAGATCGGAGCATCAGACACGCTGCGCGCTCAGGACACCAACAACGCTGGCAGTGATTCGGGAAAATGAAAGCACAACGCACGTTGAATTGACACTATCATACGCGTTCACGCGTAATAAAGGCACTGCAGCACTCAACATTCCACGACTGACACCCACGGTCTTGATGCGCGTGGCAATGAGAAACTCAACATCAAAATAATATCGGACTCTACGTTGCGAAATGAAGCTACTCCCGCCCAAATGCAACTGTATTTTCACGAGCCGACGGCAGCAAACAGGACATCTCAGCCTCATTACCACTCCCAGTCTCTTTAAGCACCAGGTAAGCGCCTTGGGGCTCATCCCCAGCACCGACCGACGCCGGCCGAGACTGTTCCGGCAGTGCCGAGCGAACCAGGCCGGGCACGCCGGGGACGCCTCTGCACTCCCGGCCGCCAGCGCTGCCGCCCCAGCAGAAGAGAAACGGCTGCTGGCTCCCATTGGTCAAATCGAGTCACCTAGGACTGTACATCGACTGACTCACAAATATGTTTCTTTTGACGTGGAGCCGAAAGCTGCTCATTACCCCTTGAACAGCGCTTCCCGTGGTGATATTTCCGTGACCGAATTCCTCAATGTTTGCATCGTAGCGAGTTGCGTTTGGGATGGGTTTCCAGATGCCAGGTGCGACGGTCGTTTTTCTTCCGTGGGGGGACAGAGCGGGGTGAACGGGTGAAGTCATCCCACCGGGGCGCCGCGCCGCGCCCCCCCCCCCCCCCCGGACACAGGCGAGAGCGAGCCGCCGGCGGCGCGCACGCGCGCGCGTATGCACAGACGCTGCTTTCCGGCGGCGGCCGGGACTGACCTGTGGTGATATGCGCCGACCACTCCTGCTCGCCGGTGCTGGAGGCACCCCACAAGAAGGCCAGTGACGGACTGCCGGCCGTCGGCTCGCTGGACGAGGGCGGCGCATCTGCGGGACAGGCGGAGAGTCAGCGCGCCGGCCGGTCAGCGGCCGTCCTCCCCTCCGTCCGCGAGTCTGGGGGGGGGGGGGGGGGGCGCTGGCGCCGCAGGTGTGCCGCGGTCCGGCCGCCACTGTTCATGTTCATGTTCATATATTTCGTTACTTTCCACAAGATCCAGTGGCTTTTTCAAAGTTACACGTCGTCATTGATATAAACGGGCATAAAAGAGACAATGTGAAAACTAGTAAAATAGCCTAAGACATCACACATCGGTCAAGAGACCATCTCGGTGAATCGCACTATCACTAAATCACTCACACAGCGTGGGTTCAGATCCGGGTGCCCCGTGCAGCCCGAGTCCGCTGCTGGGTCGGACGGCTGGATGCCAGGCACATGGGGATGCGGAAAATGCGGGAAAAGTGCCCACGCGGCAAACAGTACTTAGCCGGGCTAGGAATCGAAATCGGAACTTGACGTACTCAATATCACTGCATGATAACGTCCAAGTCCTACCAATCGTTACCAGTGGGAATGAGCATACCGTCATGACATCACCACATCCCTGGAGGACACCGGCAGCGCGCGCCCAGTGGCGGCCTCGGACGGCCTACCTTTGGCGCTGAGGTCCAGACCCATGGCGTTGGCGTAGTGGTGCTGCTGGAACAGCACTCCCTTAGGACCTGGAACAACACGAGACATGACCCGCCGCCGAACCGTGCGCACGCCTGCGCAGCTGGCGCTCCGGCTACCACTGCTGACGCTCGGCTGGCGCGCCCAGGGAGGCTCGTCGCCAACGGCCGGTCCGATGGTGCGGCGATGAGGGCACGAGCCTCACTTCCCGCGCGCCAGACACGCAGCGCTCGAGACACACCACCGCGGCGGCTTGCCCCACCCGGGGCATCGTATCTCTCCCGACGTTCTGGGGACCATTTACAGCGCGCGGCCGCGTAACTGTCGCGTGTGCGGCCTCGGCAATCCCGGGTGCTGCTTGGCTCCCAGCTCGGGCCCTACCAGTCTATAGTTCATCCCACCTGGATGGCGGGGCACTGCTCCCACAGCAAGTCATCCACAGCGGCTACTCTCATCTGAACGCCGCTCAGACACTGGAGCGATCATCCTCCTTAGAGGAAAATAAAAATATCATCGAAAAACAGAAAATATATAATCGTTTCATTTATGATCCTTGAAGACGTACAAACACATCGTGATGTTATTGAATTTTGTTTGATTTCGTACCGCTAGCCTCAGCAATAAACAGCGGGATGGCGTAACGCCTGTACACTTTTCGGCTTTCACATTAAGACGGCAGTTGAAGAAGGAGAATACCGCAGAGTCACCGACGGACGCGCACCAAAGGCAAGATCACTTTGGCGACCCGGGACCACTAGACTACCCACAAATCCTAAATGCATACGCTGCGCATTGAGCGGTGATGACTTTATGGAAATCGGGCGAGCGGCTCAGAGGCTCAGAGACTCGCAACAGCCGCAGAGCCGGCGGTGGAGCGTTGTCGCCTGCGGGCGGCTGGGTCTCTTCTCATCGCAGCCGCCCGCGTCATTACGGATTACGTCGCAGCCGTGCCATGTCGACGCGTTCGGAGCGAACCAGCCCCGCCCAACCTCCACACACACAACTACCCAGGCGGAGCGCATTCGTGTAACAGGCCACGAAACAGGCGTCTATTCCACGGCACGCACGCCCTGTCATACGAGCGCCCGCCACGGCCGTGGGGGAGGCGGCGGCGCCGCCATACACCGTCGGTCCGCTCGCCTCCCTGCCGCGCGGCCCGACCCGCGCGTCGCCGGCGGCGGCGCCCGCCCACCTTTGGGGAAGATATGCGTCCAGCGGCGCCGGCTGGAGGTGTGCTTGACCACGATGTTGCTGGGGTCGAACGGGTTGAAGAGGGCGCGGCCGGGCCCGTGCGGCACGGCCACGCGGCTGAGGCTCAGGTCGCAGGCGGACACGGCCGAGGCGGCCGGCCGCGGCGGCGAGCGGGTCACGTCGCTGTCGTCGAACGAGACGCGCCGCAGCGTGCCGCCGTCTGCGGGAGGCGCCGCGCCGCGCCGCGCCCGTTAGCGCGCCGCCAGGTCCGGCGGCCCCGGGCGTGGTCTCTCGGTCAGCTGGTGATGGATTGACTCCACATCGGAGTTCCGGCAGAAGTCGAACAATACTTATCACGCGCCCGACGCCACAAAGGTCACGTGGGAGGCGGCGGAGGAGAAACAACGCAGATAGCTGCTGAGCCAGGTCACGCACAGCGGAGCACGGCTAGGAGTCCAGACCAAGGTCTGGTGTGGTTCTGTGGACCAGTTCCACGACGACCGGGTACGGACTGATATGGTCTGGTGTGGTCTGGCGAGGTGAGCATCCGCTAATGGGTGGGTACAGGTACACGACAGACTGGGAACGCGGTTAAAGTAAGCCTTCATGTGCTAGAAGTACACAGCAGCGCCATCAAAATTTGTTCTTGATCAATGTTTGGTTCCAAGACGGCATTCAAGGCAGGGACGCACAGAATGCAATATTCAGGGATGTGCCACAACAAAAAATAGCGGAACGCAAAAATGCAAGACGTGGGGATGTGTCAGTCGGCGGCTGTCGACAACAGGGCCACATGTTGCACCTATCCACGTTATTAATCAGCATTTGTTCGGCACACGCAAGGACGCAGATCACCTTCACGGCTTCCCCCGCTCCAGTTGCTATTTCCTAGCACCGCTGCTCCCAAGCAACGGTCACCACACACCATACCGGGGGAGGGGGACCCCATGCCGCAATCCGGGTTCCATCCAACCACAGCACAAGCGCCATTTGACATCCTGGTTAACGGTTTCCCAGCCGTGTGAGCAGCCCATCAGCCCGTTATAGGGCGCATGGATGGTTGCCACCACAGCCAGGTCAGCGCAGGCCATGCCGCGTCTATCACTCACCGGACCGGTCACTGCCGAACACGGACCCGAACGACGACGAGTATAGCTCACCAGGCGGCGACACTGGGCTCTGCACGAGTGGCGAGGCGCGCGCTAAAACAGACCAATGGCGGCGCCGCGTCACTGCCGGCGCGCGCCCGCTCAGCCAATCACCAGCCGTGCCGGGCCGATCGCATGCGGCGGCGGGGTCGGTTAGCTTGCCACCGCCAAGTACCAGCCCTAAAGGGAGTGTGCCACCTCCGGGACGTGAATCAAAAGCAGACTCTGGTGATATCTTCGGGTCAGTTATGTCTAATCATAACACTACATCAGCAATATACTTGAAGCAAATCCATTTAATTTCATTTCATTTTCTATTGAAAATTACGCGGTTCCCGTTTCGACACAGCATTACAAAATGTGTACCTACAACCCCAAGTTTCGTTTTTGGGGTAAGCGACCTAAGCGCATACAACCCGTTCTAGTGAGATATTCAGCCGTTTAAATTTCCATGAAAATGAGCACGAAACAGAGAGAAAGCTACCCCGCAACACCAACAACCAGCCCCTTGCTACCACCCAGTGTGGTGGTCAAAATGTGTTCCGCCATTGACAGATACGAATGACGTCAGAAGAAATGAATGTTCATGATTGGTACAGCGGGTGGCACAAGGCCATTTAGCAAGAAGTACATTCGTGGAACTTTGAACAAGTAAATCACTAGTCCAGGTGATATGTTTCTGGTTAGCTGGTTGGCAACCTGGTTGTTAACACGGTCTTGCAACGAACTGAGCATCCATGTAAACAATGTTTCCTAAAGGCGAAAAACCATTTGAAAAGACTCGCCGTGCCATGTGAGAGAGGATTCAAAGCCATGGTATGACGTTTCGATGAGTTGACATGATTATGACCCCATACTTGTGTGTCTTTACCCTGTAGAGAGTTCAAGTCTTTGTGCATCTTCAATTGCGTATTACGAATATTTCATAGAAAACATGTTGGAAAGCGAATCAAACCAGAAGTATTACTTTCAAAGTGATGGTCACACAGTATAATGGCATTCCTTGTGTGGGGCGGCCAACTCGATTACAAATTCTGAGCTACCCTGGGCGACTTCGTGAAACCTAGTGTCACCGACCAACCCGGACGAGGACGAGTCTTGTCATCTACCCTCCAGTGAACATGACAAAACAGGTGACACACTCCCTCTAACGGTCGCTAGCCTACAACATGCCATGTTTGAGTCCGTTAGCCATCACACGCGACGCGCGAGCCCTCAACCCGTCAGAGGCAGCAGGGTCGCCTGACGTGCGGCCTCCCAGTCGGTTAGTCAGTCACACGCGCCGGCCCAGCCGGCCGGTCAGTCTGCGGCGGCGGGCGGCACGAATGCACCCCCGGGCAGCGGATGCCACAGAGCAGCAGCCGGGCTGGCGGGCGCCGGCGGCAGGCAGATCAGCTGCGCTTGCGCACGGCAACAGGGTCAAAATTGGGTCGCGGTCAGAGCCTTAGCGCCATGGCTTTGTATACCACTTGAAATGGTGGTAAAGTTTTATTTTCTATTTGCATTTAATTTCCGTGTCCCCGGAAAAATGCAATAGCCTCCGTAACACAGGAACCATGAACAACAAGGATTGCTACTTTATTTACACCAATGGTAGCTGCTTCTATCAGGCGTCGCCTACACACGTTCAGGGTAAAGATGCAGTTACTATAAATTACTTCCGTAAAGTGTCGTAGCTCGGCTGCACCGCTGGGCAGACCCTGCTCAACAGATCACTACACCTTTAGCGGCGTCGCCACGGGACGTGTTCACTACCCTGACGTGACGGCACTCGTAGGCAGCTACATTTGTAAGTGGTTGCTTCAGTCTCAGCTCGCGAGTGCATCAAACGTTTGAGCATCGCATTGTTTGCCAAGCAACAGCCCAGCGCATGCCGCCGACAGCAGTTTTCACAACACACAGCGCCCGCACCGCCCGTCCTTCGCGCGCGCCGCGCCGCAGTGACGTCACGCCGCGCCGGCTCCGTTTGGAGCCGGCGCGGCAGCGGGGCCCGGCGTGCGGCGAGCGCGGCGCGGCGCCGCCAGCGGGCGCCGCCCACCCACCTGGTGTGACAAACCCGGTGGCCGACGAGCTGTACACCTGCTCGGCGATCGGCGACGAGACGGCCGAGTCGGTCGGCGGGCGCGGCGGCTTCACGTGCGAGGTGGTGACGGTGCGCTTGCGCGGCGGCACGCGCTGCAGGGTCATCGTCGCCCTGGTGGGGGGGGGGGGGGGGACGCGTCGGACGCGGTTCAGCGGCGCGCCGACGGGTCGGCAGCACCGTCCGCTGGCTGTCAGCTCAACATGGCAGCCATCACCGACACCGAATAACTGACACCGACTGACACCGACTGACACCGACTGATGCCGTGTAACGAACTCTGCATGTGCAGCCAAGGAGGGAGGCGGGCCCGGACACTCATTCCCTAGACCCGCATTTTGCATTTCTATGCCATAAATGGCGCATGACAGAACGTTTGCGATCGGCGCAATACGTTCTCGTGAGCTCCGGTCCCCCCTCCCCCCCCCCCCCCTGTAAGAAAATCCCTGGCATCCGGCAGAACCGCGCTGCTTTAGTTTGTACGGGCTAAGCTTGCCAGGGATCTGCGAAACAGATCGCAACGGTTTGTGAAATCCAAGACGGCCTTGTATTTAATGACAGGCACAATGCGCCTCTGCCAAATGCCTTTGACAGGCTTCGAGCTTCACAACCCATCGACACAGACAGATGTCATTTTTATGCGGAGCCAGCGCCTCATCTCTATACAGCCATATTCTGTCCGCTTACGGCACAATCCAGACTTCATGACATAACACATCTCATCTCGCTGCCCAACTCCCGCCGCGCTTCACCAACTCACTGTTTGTAGGTGGCGTTGGCGGGCATGCGGAAGACGTCGGCGTCGTGGGCGTCGTAGTCGTACACGGAGCTGGGGATGGCGTGCTCGCTGGGCGGCGGGCGGCCGCGCGGCAGCACCGACTGCACGCGCGCCACGGGCGCCTTGGGCGCGCTCGGCGGCACTTTGATGCGCGGCACGAACTCCGAGTAGCCCACCCGCTTGTTGGACGAGTAGAAGCTGAGGTTGATCCAGGTGTGTGGCAGGTAGTAGTCCTGCGTCTCCGTCAGGCTCTTGTTGTGGAACTGAGGCAGCAGGGTGTGGCGGTGAACAGGCAGTGACCGGCGTTCGCGGCCAGGATCATTTGGTCAGCTTCCCAAAAAAACGCCACACACTGCAGAAATAGCTCTAACCTCCGCGTGAAACGTTGGCAAAACAGTAGCAAGCGACCGCTTTACCATAACCTGGGCCAAAAAAGCAAATGGGCTTGGCAAAATTCGTTAACGGATTCTTGCATTTCTCTAAGACCTTTATTCAGGACTGTTTGCGTAGGATATTTGCAATCATCGATCGCAGGCTCATCCAATAGTTCACAAGAGGCGCGATTGTTAACACACCGCGCTGTATCAATTGTTCAATATTTGCATTAAACTTCTTGATCAGGTCGGCTTCAGCAGCACTGCAATATCACCACAACTCCCCGCCACCCAACTAGCAAGAAAAATATAACTTTCAGTCACAGTAAGGCAACCAAAGAACACAAAACACGAACTGTGCACAGATCCCGCCGACCAGACGTCACAGCAACGTGATATAAATTGGCCAAGGAGGACAAGGACATTGGTGCTGGCAGAAGTGTGGGTTCATCTGTGCAGGCGATCCCACACTCCGGCGTGCGATCCACGGACCCGCCCGTTCTTGGGGCGCTTTCACGATTCGGTGTCAGGTTTTAGCAGCCAGAACAGCTGAAGACGTGACACCAACTGCACGGCACTGGCGAGCGCACCGGTTACAGCTCACTACAGGATCCCCAAATTAGTTGCACGGTGCTGGCGAATGCACCGGTTACAGGTCGCTACAGGATCTCCAAATCAGCTGCACGGTGCTGGCGAATGCACCGGTTACAGGTCGCTACAGGATCTCCAAATCAGCTGCACGGTGCTGGCGAATGTACCGGTTATGACTCATTCAAGGATCCCGGGACGGTCCAAAACCGCAACCGACGCCAGCGATCGACGAACGAGCGGCCAACGACACTCTTAACAAGAAATATCGAATACAAGACGCTGCGGACGAAGCCGAGGGAGACACCAACCTTACTTAGAACTTAGGCACAGCCGCCAGTACCCCCCACCCGCGTGGATGGCGTGGAGCCCCGCCCAGCCGGGCTTATTCCTCGCTCTCTGGCGGCGGCGGTCCACAACAGGGAGGTGGGCGGGCGCCGAAGAGCGCCGGTCGCGCGCGCACGCACCTTGAGCAGAGGCACGGCGTGCAGCGGCTGCTCGCCGACGCACACCAGGTCGATGCCGACGCCGTAGTCGATGATGCGCTGCTTGGTCAGATTGTTGAGCTCCCGCTCCACCTGGTACACGCCAACGCCGGGCGACACCACCCACGCACATCTGGCCGGTGCGCTCCAGAGCCCGGTGCAGGTAGTGCATCTCGAACACTGCCGCGCACAGCCGCTAGTCAAGCTGGTGGCTCTCAAACACTCATACACAGTCGCCAGTCGAGCAGTGGCTCTCAAACACTGCCGCACATTGTCGCTAGTCAAGGAGGCGGCGTTAAAACTCTGGCGCTTACAGTCGCTGGTCAAGCCAGTAGCTCTGTAAAGGCAAACTAAGCGAACACATAAATGCGGACGAGCCATTCTATGTTTGAGATCAGTGTGTCAGCATGAATGTTGGCTTCATTGGCTGTTGATGTTTTAGACATGCCGACTGCAGATGCTATGTTTCTCTCAGAATCAAGTATTTCCGTGTCTACCAGCGGGTATAAAACCTTAAGTCGTATTTACAGCGAAAAAGACAGCAGCAACACGCACGTCACGGAACAACATAGAGGAATCACGCCGTTCAAAGTGACGCGATCGTTCCTCGAGGCAGGGCGGACGCGAGCAAACGCATGACAATGACGGGAAAGGCATCACATCGGCAGCATACAGACCTGGGCCGGCCACCACAAACATTTACGTTATTCCCAACTAAAACAACGGCAATAACTGTGTATCCCATTCCCTGAAACACACTAAAACACACTGAAGTAAGTGACCGCTTTCTAGCATTTGGACCCACCGCGTGGTCGGAGGGGGGGGGGGGGGACGCACCATTCATGGAGATGTTGAGCACCTCGAGGAAGTTGCCGTGGGCGGCCGAGCTGAGCGAGGCGCGCGGCGGCGGCGGCGCGCCAGGGGGCGCCCGCTCCCGCTGGAAGTTCAGCAGGCCCTCCCGGTAGCCCATGAACAGGTGCCGGATGGTGGAGAGCACGGGCGTCCAGTCCTCGTACCGCTCGTTCTGCACGGCAACCCTGGCGAGATCGAGGCCGCGCGGACACTTGGTCATAACGCGCTAACCACTTTTTTAATTGACCGTGACGCACGTCGTCGCGCTTCTTGCATGGAGCGCCAGCGACTCCATTACGCTCAGGGACCATGGCACAACCCAGATTCGAACCCGGGCCCCTAAGTGGGAGTCCGACACGTTAACCACTCGGCCATGACTACGCCCCCAGTACCCCCCGCCCCGGTGGGGTGGAGGCCGTGCGGCCACTTAGTCACAGCACAGCACGGTGGAATGGTAAAGTTCAGCCATTCGGGTGCCAAGAATGCAGGTCTTGTTCATGATATTGCTCAAGTGCCTTAGGGTCCATTATCTGTGGCACAACTCCTCACTCAGTGTCGACTGACCAGCGTAGAGCCGCGTGGCTGTCGGCCCAGCACATGTACGCCTCGGGCAAGGCAAATCGGCCAAGCAGGTCGGGGTGTGAGGATCCGGGGGTCAAAGGGCAACGGGTCAACGGGAAGTCAAGCATGGCCGAGATGGAGGCGGCAGGAGACAGAGGTCTTGTGGCATGAGTTGATGTGAGTATTCCTGACAACGAACAGGACGCATTTTGCCACGCTCCAGCACGATCCTGGTTGGTTGAAGACCGTGCGGCGGACACTCAGCTAAAGCACAACACAGCATTGTACAGCCTCAAACACATCTTTCAAATATATAAAATATCAATGTATGTATAAATATATAAAAATAATATATAAAAATATGTCAAATTATACATCTATATATATATATATATATATATATATATATATATATATATATATATATAGCATCATATGAGAAAAATACACTTAGGAATATAGAAGTTCGAGCAGCAATCTATGTTTATATAGTATAAATAAGCAGGACAACTTCTAAACAGCATGCATGGGAGGGGGTGATCTCGAAATGATCATGGCGCCTCTAATCCTGCTCAACACTGATGTCGTTGCTGTTAATTCCGTTAAATTCGTATGGTCGCCATACTCTTCCCGAACACAACGGTCTCGTGATCACGCCACACGCAGCTGGATGGTGCGGTCGGGGGCATCTAACCGACCTGTAGAAGTCTTCGTAGAACATGTTGCGGAAATCCTTCTGCACATCGTGACGCATGTACTCCGGAAACTCGCTGAGCGAGTTGGCCTTGTAGAAGAGCCGGGAGAACAGCGTGATGGTCACCTCGTGGTTGGTCCCGTGCCTCTGTAAGAGCGTGATGGTCACCTTGTGGTTGTCCCCGTGGCCTCTGTAAGAGCGTAATGGTCACCTCGTGGCTGGTCCCGTGCCTCTGTAAGAGCGCTATGTTCACCTCGTGGTTGTTGCCGTGCCATTTTAAGAGAGCGATTGCGCTTCATGGTTCATGCCGTGACTTCGTAAGAACGTGAATGTCATTTTGCCGTTGCTGACTGTCCTACATGACGTTCGCCCTGCGATTGGCGCCTCGCGAGGTCTGTGAAGGCGTGATGGTCACCTCACGTGCTGGTCATCGCGGGCGCGGTGACTCTCAGACACCAAGCAGCAAGGGCTGCTTAACGTAACAAACGTAACGCTGCATAACGTAGCGAGCGTCTCCGCAAGGCCCCGCACCTTCCAATTGTTGAATAGGTCGCTGAGGAAGCCGTTGACGGCCTTCTCGAAATACAGGTCTCCGTAAACGTCAAAGTCCCACATTTCCTCTGACATCTGGATGTAGAGGTGGAACATGCTGGTGGCTGACCGGAACACCACCTGCCGAAGAAAGAACGCAGCCACGATAGAGTGACACGGCTGGCCGACACGGTGGCCGGGCGCGTTTGCTGGAACGGCGATAACGAACGGCCGCAGCAGAGGTAAGGCGCTAAGGCGTCTTCCACAACAGAAGAAACATCACCGATCCTGTGATGGCGGCACCCATCCCCGCACCTCACTCCCAGGGACGAGGGTCACCATCACCGCACCTCACTCCAAGGGACGAGGGACGCCATCACCGCACCTAACTTCCCGGGACGAGGGGCGCTAAGCTCAGCGTCAGCACTGTCCGAAGCGACCTTCCACACCGTGCAGTTAAGACAGACCTCCGTGTTGGTGCCCCATGCCGGCCAACAACACCTCATGCTCACCAATCCGTCCGTAAAGCACCAGTCGCAAATGACCTCAAACAGACCTCAGCGGCGCTTCAGGGTACAGGGTCCGGCCCCGTACGCACCCCACACGTATCCCGTGTCCCGTATGCACGCCGATGACCCGGTCACCAGCCCTGCTGGGGCCGCGGTCGGCCCGGCCAACTGACCTTTGTGTCTGGCGTGACCAGACCGCACGCTACGCGGTCTCCCTGCGACCACATCTCGAAAACCTGGCAGCGCACCGTCTGCGAGCAGAACTCCACGTTCTTCTTGTGGTACATCACCTTGCCCACCTGTCGGCAGCGGCAGCCCAGTTTGGCACCTGCTCGCTGGAGGCGTGCTGGCAGCCAGCCGGCGTGCGTGTGCATCATCCGTGGTTACATTCCCATGTGGTTATTCGGTTCCAGCGTCACACGCTCTCGATACTTCCGGTCTGGCGGCGTGATTCGTGGCGGCGCTCGTGTCGAAGCCCTGCCCCGGTTCTGTGTTGGTTTTTGCTGTTATGGGGCAATTTGGTGGTGGTGTTCTTATTAGAATTCCATCCTACACTGCCTTAGTAGCCTTCATTGCATGCTGTATAGTGCGGCTCGCGAATGCAACCTAAGTTAGGAAGAAATCACCGGGGGATCGTTTTGCAACATTACTTACTAATAAAATTATAAAACATTGCCAAAGATATCCATTTTTAGTGAAACTCAAATGTCACAGGAGGAAGTCCTGTCTAGACATGCAGAAGTGAATGTGTCTTAACCTCTATTTGTTCGCCGTAAATACTGCCCGCGGCTGTTCTGCGTCAGCTGATCTTCGCCCTTGCGGCCAACGCTGCCTCTTAATGCATCATCTGCGTAATTTTTGGTCATGGCACACCCTGCGCCGTGGCTGGCGTAACGCGTCTTTAATAAATATCGTCATTCAAATTTTTGCAAGAGCATATAGTCTAGTGCATAGACGTACTTAATTAATCTGCCTAAAAGCTAGGAGATTAATCAATGAATTACCACACGGATGGATACACGCTCACATACCACATGCTCTATTGATTCAAGAATGAACAATTTGCTTTGGAAACGCAACAATGAATGCAGTACGTCAAAATCAAGAAGAAAGCGAACGGGGAAGCGGGCAGTTTCAACCCAGCGGTGGCCTCCACCCATGGATTCCGTTCGCCAATCGCGCCCCGCCGTGATTTTCCTCTTAAATAAGCCCTGTTATTGACAGCTGGAATCTCCAAGCAGCGCGGTGGAGCCCATTCCGAATCAAATTGGCTCGCTGCCATTCCGCTGCCATTCGACGGCAGCACGTTTTCGACTGATGGCGATCCAGCACCCACCTCCGCTGACGTCCAATGCCGATCACAGCGAACTTGATTTACTTAATCAATTAAGTAAATTTATCAATTTATTCCGCAATTTAACTTAAATTACTGAGCGCTTCCTTTGGGGCGCAGCCGCCGACCCCACCGCCGTATTGTACCATTGCACCAAGTGCCACACGCACACGGAACCGGAGCTGCATCAGCCCAGACGTGGCCTGCGCGGTGACCTGCGCACGTCACACTGACCAGGCTGTTCTTGAGGCGCCACATGTCGCTGCGGTTGAGGTAGTGGTCCTTGAAGAGCAGCTCCACCGACTCGAGCGCGGCGTCGGCCGGGTCCACCAGACGCACGCTGACCGAGTCATACAGCCGGTCCCGCAGGTGGAACGTCTCCACCACCGTACTGTCCACACTGACGGCGTCCACTGAAAACGTCCACACACAGCCGTTATCGGCCGGGCGGCAGCACGACGGGGACGGAGTCGACGCGGGACAGAGGGGACAGAGTCAACAGGGACAGAGTCGACGGGGACAGAATCGACGGGGGCGCAATCGACGGAGACAGATTCGAGGAGGACAGAGTCGACGGCGACAGAATCGACGGGGACGGAGTCGACGGGGGCGCAATCGACGGGGACAGAGTCGATGAGGACAGAGTCGATGGGGAAGGAATTGATGGGGTCAGAGTAGATGGGGACAGAGTTAAAAGGGACAGAGTCAATGGGAACAGAGCCACTGGGGACAGATTTAACAGTGACAGAGTAGTCAGTGATGAGGTCAATGGGGACAGAGTTGACAGGGACAGAGTCATCAGAGGCAAAGCTGATGGAAACAGAGTTGATGGGGACAGAGTTGGACCAGGTCATATGACCAAGCAGGTGAAGCCTGGTCAAAACCCATACAGACAAGCACCAATGATTACCTCGGTTAGAAATACATTCACTACATGGAAGCATTTTTAAATGAAAGCCTACCTGTGCACCTACCATTCTGCTGTTGGCACATGGGTTGACATCTGTGTGTTGCTTATTGTGCTGCATGGCTATTAGGTCAAATTTGTTTATCTCCACTCTTCCCTACCATGACTGCATTTCTTATTATCTCCATTTTTATATCTTGTATTACATTCATCCATGCATCATTGTGTTAATGGACAGAGGCATAATTTTGTGTTCAGTTGCAGTGGCTTATACCCCAACCCCAGCCTTCATGTCAACCACATCAATTTTGAAAGGAAAGAAAGTGAAATGCACAGAGAAATCCACTTTGTTGTGTCCACCTAACCTCACCTAAACTGATCTTACAAAACTATGCCCAAACATTACATCATGTATTATCAAGTGACCAGCCTTTGTTACTGGTGTCACATAACTCCATTTCTGATCACTGTCATCCAGGTCATTAAGGCTTGTTCATTCACCTTTATGATCATCCCTGAGGGATCCAGATGAAACCTGCAGCAAGAGACGAGCAAAGTCGAGGTCTGGGTGGGATATCTCCACTATCTTGCCCACCTCCAAGCCCGGCACTGAACATGGATGCAGGATAATTTCTTCCTTGGATTCTGTGGGAACAAACCACAAAATGATAATCCATTTTATTCACCAAAGCAATGAAACCAGTTTCCAGATGAAGAAGTAATCAGGAAACATATCATTCATCAGAATACCACTACCACTACCACTACCACAATACCAGTACCACTGAACAAACACAGATTGTAGGGCACACTGTAGTAGAGTGAAGTGGGGAATAAATATCAGCTACACCCTTGAAGAAAATGAGCAGCCATGACAATGCTCACAACATATCAGTTAACCATGAAATAACATTATGATATGAATGATGTCTACATATACTGAAATAAAACATATCTCTCAGACTTCTGTGAAGGAAGCCTACCTCCTCGAATCTGTGGAAGCTTTTGATGCACCACAAGCTTCAGAAGCACTTCTTGACTCATTATGCACCTGCATTTGGGGAAACACATTATGGATTACACATTATACACATCACACACAATTTTGTGACATAGGTAAGTATTTTTTCCACTAAATACAAAAGAAAAGTCAGTGTTTGTTGAGACCAGTGGTAAAGGATAGTTAAAATAACCAGGACCCATCACAAAACCTTAACTGACAAAACAATCAAACATGCTGATGTCACTTATTTAAGGGAATAATAGTATGGCTTTAGATGCATTTCAAGTTTCTTAAAATATGTTGAGAATTAATGGTGGATAAAATGCCCAAATGACAATTTTTACTGGAGGTAGAGTGGAAAATTGTATCTTAGCAATCAAAACAGTAACGGGTTGAAGTGGCACCAGTCATGTGTGCTCTGCTATATGAAAGAAACCCCATTTGGATGGTTACACACTGGAAAAAATGTTCATGGGTGAGCATGCACTACAAAATCCTTTGTCTTGTTGAGTTATTTTGGTACCTGCACAAGTCACGAGCCACCAACCAACACTAATGCATCCAAAATTTCCTGACTGCATCAAACTGATAACCTGATAACTGATTAGGCACATTCAAGGTACTGATCCACGATAAGACATGGGCGAGTTACCAATGCCACTGAATAATTCCCACCCTTTTGAGGGAATACCACATGTCCAAACAATTTTTCCTTCCTATACAGCCACCGCAGCCTTCACCATCTACGCTTACAACCGCACACCTTACCGCAGGCCGACCACAACACCCGCGTCCAACACCTCCCCCTCCTTCGCCTATCACCCGCATGTTTACATTTGTATCTGGTAGCTTAACTGGCAGCCTTCAAAATATCATCAGCCAGAGGGATTCTGATGCAATACAAAAACCTCCAAGAACATTGGTGTATAACAACAATGAACGCTATGGGAACATGTCATATCAGCTTAATCCGATGATAAAGGGGAGCGTATTAATTTCGTGGCCAGATGTCCTTTCCAAGTAGCCAGAACACGATTAGTTTTTCAGTTGCGGCGTGAAAAAGTAACCGGCTCGAACGCGCGTATTGCGGACCGCAACACGACCCAAGGGCCTCCCGTCAAATGGACCGCGAGGCAGGTGGCCCGAACCGCGCCCCAAGGCCAGACAGAGCTGATGCAGCAAGAGCTATCTGGCCACCTGCCTGATGATCCCCCTAGATCTACGCCGTCATTGTGAGACGCGGGAATGGATCTGTCTCGATACTGCATGACGCATTTTGTGCGAAAAGTAAAGGCGAGCGCGCCCCCTCCCGGCCGAAACACCGCCATAAGAGCATCCGTGCCGTGGCCGATTTTATTTCCCTGCCTCATGGTCGTGGGAATGGCGGAGCCCAATCGGCCTCAAAATCACGGAATGAAAGCAGCCGAGCTAAGGCAGCTCGCTCCAAACATCGACCCTAAATGGCGCGAGATCCATTTGACGCAGTCCCCGACCCATGAACCGGCAAAGTAGCAGTTTCTAAATTCACCTTTAATAGTTGGCTGACCTCTATCACGGATGCTGGAGATTCCTCAAAAACAGTACAGCATTAGCCGTTCGGAGACGTGTGGTGGGTTATCAATTATACCCCATGAAAAGAAAATGATCCGGATTATGGATCTAACTCCTTGTCGCGAAAGCTAGTTTGCAAAAATTCACCATGATCAAAGCCGCACGAGCTCTTTTTACGTCCCAGACATGGCAATGCTTGCACCGTATATGCTATGACATACATGATGCATTGATTCTAAGTCGAAACAGTTATCGTTATAAAATATTAAGACTCTAAAATGTATCTTGTTTGTAAGATTTTAAGACTCCTAGATGCAAGTTTTTACAAGTAATATCGACTATTATGCTAATTTTGCGGCGCTAACAACGCTCTTCGCGTACACATTAAAACATGCCCTAACTTTTGATATGGAAAGCACATCACCCTACTGGTCACTTTGCGCGTTCGTCCATGCCCGTGATGGCAGCTTACGCAGTGAACCTGGTCAGTGTTGGGGAACGGCGGACATCTTAACAAGCTTTACTAACCACATGTGCTTGTTGAACACGAGGGACACGTGAGGCATCCAATCCTGCTTCGATCTGTACGCAATGGCGCACACCCCGTACCTAGTAAGACGTAGGTGCACTTGAAGCCCGCGCCCAGAGCACCCAACAAGCTACCAAATCTGACGCCGAGTCTCGTGAGGGCGGTGGGAAGCGGCGCATGTCGGGATCGAAGCTGAAGCCGCGCTCATCGTCCTCGTGCACGGATGTCTGGGCTACGCCAACTCTGGTTGATCTCCTCGGTTGGTCGGTCGTCATGATGACGGTAGACGGACTTGCACCTTGCGCTTCCGTGGTGTGCTGTAGAAGGCAGGTCCAGACGAGACGCTGTTCGAGACGGCTGCCGGCCGGCGCAGCTTCTTACTCGAACGAACACGAAGTGTATGCCGTCAAAAGTTTGAATCGCATGCGGCCGGCAGCCACCTGCCTTCGGAAGTAGGGTATCAGGGTTCACGTGATATGACATATATATATATATATATATATATATATATATATATATATATATATACATATATGTGGGGATTGTGTCAAAGAAATTGGCGTCGCTGACCCACCTCAAAGTCTGGGTGTCATTCAATAGCCCCAGGCCAGCGCTATCAAACACACGCGGCACTATCCTCTGCGTGCAGCGTTTGTTCTCACACGCTCGTAGTGTAAAAATACGCTGCACGCTGTCATGTATTCACAAGCGCCGTGTGGTCGCCCTCATTTAGTAAATCGCTATTAGCGCGTCATAACAAACCATACGTGCCAAACGGACGCTCTTCGCCCTTAAGTTCCCTTCGAAAACCGCGAATTAGAGCTGTGCGTCGCACACGCACGCAAGTGCCCCACTCTGCTTACCAAGTTTGTGATATCTATTAAAGGGAGTGCTCTACGTTTGCACGAGGTTTTGAACTGAAATAGCCATCTTAAAGAACACTCGGTGCAGTTCATAGCCCCGCCCCTCTTAAGGCATGACCCCTCTAGTTTCTGGGCTAAACGCCCGCGAAGATGTGCGGAATATTTCGGGTGACTACTTCAAGGTCACACACGCATCCACGACGCCACGTCATTCAAATCCTGCTATTCCTAAGCCATGCGACGATACGGGCCAAAAAAATATAAGTGCCCACTAGTTAACATCTGACGTTCGTGACCACGATTCACGAATATAACCGTCTTCAGTTGGCTCTCAATCAATGTTGCAAAAGATATGATGACGTAATTAAATGATGATATTTCGACGAGCATATTTACACAACAGAGAAATTGTGCTGGTCTTTTTTCGCTTCAAAACATACCAACAGACCTCGTACCTTTATAAGTGAGCTCATTTCATCATACCTGGTGCTTGTTTCAACATCTTCAAATGTGGATGATACCCTTCAATAGGTACACAGCTTAAATCGGCAATGAGAGACTCCAGCCACACGCAAAGAAACCAGCAGATCGAGATCATGTAGTGCTGTTCCTGGGCACATAAGAAATTGCGCATACACGCGGCGCGCTTTACTTGTTTGTTTATTAACAACTTCTGGGTCTTGATCTTCCACACGATTACGAAATCCTGCGTACACACTAGCATAACGTATTTAACATCAGGTTCACGGTAAAAAATGATAAAAACAACGTAAGAGCTTTACATTCCTGGTCCCTAACATTCGTGTCGCACAGCTACCATATATGTCTGAGACATTTCTACGATAACTGAAAGGCCGGAAATACGGAAAACGAATAACCATGTCAAGAAATGTATTCTTACGGCATGCAATGGACAGGTACATCTGGTGTTTGTAACCCTCAACTATGCAAAACGTGACGACGGCTGCAGGGCCATAGCTTCGCAAAATGAGGTATGGTGGCCGAACACCGGAAAATGATTAGGCCTGCCCCCAAAATAGACAGTGAACTGGTTTCTGCTCCAGTTGGCCCGCTTCTCAACACTGAGGGGAGGGAGGCTGAAGCCTTTGCCCAATTGAATGGGGAAGTATATCCCGGGATGACTGGTAATACCTCAGACTCCCCAAACAACGGCGCGTTCGTCCGCCGTATCAATGACATGAACACCTCTGTAAAACGGGTTCATTCATTTGCATCCATTAAGCCCGTTGTTTCAAAAGAGCCGGCACTTGCAAATGCTCAGGCGAACAATATGTGCTTGGATGAGAATGCTGTACAAATAAAACAACAAACAATGCATACGACTGCTTGCAGGCATCTTCCCCAGCGCAACGAGTCTCACACTAATGGTCCCTTGCGTGTCCTGTTATACATTTTCACCACCTTCTTGCCTGGCACAAGAGTCTGACTGAGTCCTGGCCGTTTCTTGCTGGGCACCAGGCCGTCGACAGGGGGTGCCGGCCGCTTGGAGCCTGGCTCGTGCGTCGTCGTCAGCGGCGGCTCGGCCGGCTCGTCACCGCTTCGCTGCAGGTCCGAGTCGTGCGCGAACTTGCATCCGCGGCCGAAGCGACAGCGGCCCTTGCGGTAGTTCCAGCACACCTGTTTGCCATTGATCTGGCGCAGGTCGGCCGGCGCCGTAGTCAGCTTTACGTGCTTCTCGAGAATGGCCCGACGCGCGTCCTCCGCCTGCCGGTACGGGTTGCTGAAGACGGAGGTGCCCCAGCAGCTCGGCACTGAAACTAGGCAGTGGCAGCCGTTCGTCAGCAGTCTGGAGTGTCCTGAAAGAAGGACATGGCAATTGAAAATCAGTCAGAGTTCACAACCACCTCCCTTATCAGAGCTGTTCCACTCAAGGATCAAAACAAGTACTTATTTGAGGCATGTAAAACACATGTAAAATTATGAAGTTCACTGACAATACTGATCCCTATAGCTAAATCCCAGTGAGGAATCATAAAAATGGTGCCACCAAGCATGGTGAAGCAGCCCAGAAAGTTTTTTTTGGCTGTTTAAGTGCAACATAAATAAGTTTTTAGAAGATGTCCAAAATGTATGTTTACCTGAATGATTAATATGCATAACTGGCACTCCTAGCATTGCTTACCAGCAGATGCCTTTCCTTCTGGGCCAGTCATGCTTCTGTCATAATGGCAAGTGCAGGCAAAACTTAAAGTCCTATCTACCTACTGTCTAATAAGTATCAATACTTTTTCAACAATGACCCTCAATGATTTGATGTATGTATTTGGGGACTCATTTGAGAAAACTGACATTTGTATTCCAACATGAAAACTTTTTTCTTGCTTAACTATGCTTCTTTCTCAATACTTGTAAAAGGAGCACCCCAATAAACACAACTGAGGCATCTTCAAAACATAAATGCAGTAACAACCAGGTGGAAGGGATTTTAACTTTGAAACTAGCAATGTGGAATAATTTATAGACAGCTCCAATGTTAAGTTACTGATTTACCATGTACATAAAGAAAATACACATACATCTCTAGTGGCTTTTCAAATATCTTCTTTAAATTTTACCCTTCATGAAAGGCATTGGCATGGCCATAAATATCGTTGGGTTACGGCACAGGAATTTTGAAGACAACATGACATTTGTTTGAGAAGTACACCCAAATCAGTAAAATGAGCAGTTCTTTCCAAAAGAGGTGCACCACACTGCTGTATTCACAGTGTACAAGAATCAAGCATGTTTTACATGTCAGGAGTTCCTACATTATCCACTATTCAAACAGTTTGTGTTGCCAAGACATGACATTTTACAATGGCAGGATAAAAATAAAACAAATCAAAAAC